TGCATCATTTCCACTGGCACTGATATAAATAATGGAATTGCTCTTATTTCCAACCATAATATCATTAATGTTGTTTAATATGTCATCAATTCCTGCTCCCGGATAGAAAACCCTTACCCTGTTCCCCCTATCTCTGGCACAAAAGCTCTATCCAAATACCTCACCTGGCAATCTCCCACAACCAAAATATGCCTAGGTATTTCCTTTACTTTTTGAGCACCTTGATGAACATGCGTTGCCTTGAGTTTCGAGCGAACTGCAGTCTCTGTACAGCACTAGTCTTCAAGCACAGCGAGTCAGGATTACCATCAGATATTTATGCAAATTATGCTAATATTATAAGTATAATATGAAAAGGCATTTTAATCCTATGCCTTTCCAGCGAGTAATAATCCAATCTGAAAAGAGAGCTCTCATGACCATAATGACAACATGGGGCCCCTATGCAACTTTTTAGTGTGTTCATGCAACCCGTCCTCGACTCAAGTCCATTACATCCAGCGGTCAACCCCACAGACGCATTCATAAATTTTAACATGCTGTTCATTCAAAACGGAAATTTTCTCAAGTATAAATTAATATTATAATATATTGGCATATTGAATATTTCTGAAAAAATTCGAAAAATACTACAAGGTTCTGGCAACACCGTGGTGCAAACCGTTTTATGTTATGATGAAAAATAACGTAATTAGAGTAAATTTTCCAGCCGCAATTGTCCCAATTCCGGTACTCGAGGCTCGGGTACGTCGTAGGGTGATGCGTCATACGTTGTAAATGTCTAATATTTCGTAATAGAGTGGAAAATAACTTGTTATGCATATACAGATTCTAAACTCACTCATTGGCAACAGTCTCGTGCAGGAGTAGGGAGGTTGAGGTGACTACTTGAGTCAGTCACACCCTGTGTCCCTGTGTGGGTGGTTCTATAGTTGACGCGCTCACACAAATCTTCCTTTGAATCGCTTTTTGCAGTATTGACTGCACAATGGGTTTATTGTCGAAGAAGGCGAAAGCAAGAGCTTTATATGCTAGGCAAGTAAAGAAGGAGCAGAGAGCCAGATTGACGCAAAACCACATTCTGCTGAGTGAAGATAGAGGTGGCCTCGCTGCCCGCCTCACTACCTCACACTGCCACCCAGCCACAGACGTTCTCGCTCTTGATGGTACTGGTACTTCAACATGAAGGACAAGATGATGCAGAAACCAACGAGACGCACCACCAAGCCAAGAAAGGTTCCTGAGGAAGCTGACCCTGGATAAGGGCCAGGGGCCTACTAGTGCCAATGCAGTGCCACCTTGAGGACCCATATTTCAGACCAATTATATTAGGTTAGTATGTTTAAGTGTTATATTTTGATATTACATCATAAATAATTGTAAATTTAAAACTGCTGGACATATATATATTTTTTTAATATTTTGTTTTTTAATTTTTTTCTGTTATCTGGCGATCTTCATGGAACTTGCACACCTTACTGAAGGCATGCCTATCTACAAGGGTCCCAATTTTAATGAAATTGGGCGACATCAACCTCAGCCACAGGTGGCTGAACTTTGACCTTTATTTTCTACAGGTAAGTAATTAGCAACTACATAGTTGAATAACTTTTTCATTTATTATTCAATTTACATGAAACTTGGACATTATATGTAGAGTTTATACCTCTAAAAACCCGAGTTTTGTTTTTTTCATAAGGTGATTTATTGATTTTATAAATATTTATAAACATCATTTTGTTGCATAATTTTTTGGGTGAACTTTGAAAATTTGTATTATTGTACTAAATACATTTGGGATAGAAATATAACTCCCAAACCTTTATTATATAGTAATGTATTAGCTGAGTATCATAGAAATGATTTCGGTAGACTCTTGTTTGTTATTCAACGTTAAAAATGTTAAAAATTTTGTAAAATATGTTTGTTTTTCCTCCCTCTCTATTTAGGCTGCGATGTTGAAACTTGGACCAGGTGCAGCCCTTTTTACATGTAAAACGTCAATAAATTTTGATTGCACTAGAACAACTTTTAATAATCAAGCCCTTGCCCCCTTAAGACGGCACGGGAGTCCCTACACGGAAAACATCCTAAGTGCACTCATTTCCTTCAGAATTTACGTGGGCTCTCTACAAGAGCAGTAAACATACACTTCACACCCAATAAATCTGGTTATTTATGTATACCCTTGAGAGCACAAACACGAGGAACATTTGGAGCAAGAAAAAGACACAATTAGATCACAAAAGCACAAGCAAATTAATCATTCAGTCCAAGATAAAACAAAAGACCTAGATAAATAATACCTCTTCAGGGGAGAGCGAGGTGAAAGATTTTAGAACGGGTTCGGAAACAGAGGAACCTGATATATGGATCAGATTCACATCAGACAATTGAGGTCTGGATCCATGTTTCGGATCCCAGTGCCAATAGAGGACATAGAGATAAAAGCAGTAGTTAATACAGCAGCGGAGGTCACAATTATCTCTCCTGAAACTCACCAGGAGCTGCAACCACCCCAACCAGTAATACAACAAATAACCTTAAATTCAGGTGGAAAATGTACGCTTATCCCTGAAACAATAGTAGGTCCAATTAAAATAATAATTGATAAAGAGGAGTATAAAGTAAAGGTATGTGTGGCACCAATTGATCATTATATGTTATTGAATCTAGATTTCTTTACAAAACCAAGGTGACGGACTGTAACAAAACAGTACTCATATGCTACTACAAGGACGAGTGCGCCAATGCAGTTTGGGACAGAAGCAACATATGACCTTAGGTCTAACCTAAGGGTGGTACTGTCACATTATGTTTTATTCCACCATATTCTATTGCCAGGGTAAAGTGTGAGCTGGACAGGGTTATTCCCCAATGAGTGATAGAACTCATCAGAGACGAACATTTGCTGTTGGTCCAGACATTACACCAGAATGGATACACACTAAAGGAATGTATATTAAATATGACCCTCAATTGTTGTTGTTGTTCTAGATTCAGCTATTCGGGAGTATATTCCCCGGTCAGCACGGGCTATGGTGAGCCAGTAATCCGTTATATATTATCACGCTCAAGAGACTAACACAAGAATAATGTGGGAATTACATGATAAATTGTACCATGAGCCATTCCAAAGGTGGCAGTTATATCAGTGAGGAAGCCAGAGAAGACAATCGAGGATCAAAATAAAGGAGCTGAAATCGACCCACCACAGATTATGGTGACTTTACCTGGCACTGTGGAAGTCTCAGCAAGAAATGTCCCAGATAACCCAGCTTTCATGGACCTTCCAGGACATCTAGGCCTTGAGTGAGTTCGATTTCGGATCTTTCAATGAGGTGTCCCATCATATCGACACAGGGAATCCCAGATCAGTTAAATATAAAACATGGTGTACACCTGCAGGCTTTGTCCAAGAGGAGAGAGGACATCTTTAATATATGCTGGTGCAGGTATTATCCAACTTTCAGTGTCCGAGTGGGCATCAGCAAGTTGTTGATAAGGAGAAGAAACGCGACTGTTTGATCGTGCATAGACTATAGGGACCTTATCGCATGCACTATAAAGGATGTGTTCCTGCTGCCACTAACAGAAGAATGTTTGGATACATTCGCCGGGAATGAATGGTTTAGTTAAACTGGATGGGAAGTCAGTTTACAATCAGATAGACATAGCTGAGGAAGATCGCAGAAAGATGCCTTTAATAGCCAAAAATAGATTATTTGAATTTAGGAAAATGGCTTTTGGCCTCTTTAACGCTCCGGTCACATGTGCCCGAGTAATGGATTTGATGGTGAAAGCATTGAATTGGAAGGTGGTGTTAGCTTTCTTGGATGATATCTTAGTTTTACGTAATTTATTTGAAAGCTGATTTTCTAACCTTGCCCAAGTGTTCATAAATTTCGAACCTATGGCTTAAGACTAAAACTAATAAAGTGTGGCCTATAAAAAAAAACAAGTTTAATTCTTGAGAAGAACGGTAAGCAAAGCAGGGCTCGAACTGAGACAGGAGACGGCAGAGGCATTTGTGGGATGGCCGATTCCGCGCTCGTGAAAATATGTGGAGAGATTCTTTAGGATTCCAACTACTACCATTTATAAAACGATTTACGGACTAGCAACCGCTCTGGGCACATTAACAGGAGAGAACTACTTTGAATGGGTACACGAGCACAAGGCCTTTGAGTGGCATTAATTACAGCCCCTGTCGGCACTACCAAACAGGCAAGACCCACATATACTAACCACAAACGCGTCGAACTGGGCAATAGCCGCAGAGCTGCTGCACATTAAAGATGGACAAGAAATTGTGATCGTCTACACTTTGACCCTGGAGCAGAGAAGGTATTGTACCGTCAGGAAGGAATTACTTGCATTTGACTGTTTCATAAGGCTCGTTAGACACTCTTGTGCAGCGACCATTTATGGTTTGCAGAGATCATAAGTAGCCTGGTCTGGTAAACGCTGTTCAAGAATCCTTAAGAACAACTTGCCCGCTGGCTGGAGAAATTCAGCCAGAACGACTTGCAAATACATCGCAGAAGAGGTAAGAAACACACTAATGTGAGACACATATGTGAAAGAGTTGCCATCTAGAGGCTCTAACTACAGTATGAGGGCCCACAAGAATTGGTCCACCTTCCACGAGGCGGTAGATGATGTAGTACCATTGGCTTCAGGCTCATTTAGTTGTGCATGCAATGACCAGTGTAATACGACGTTTGTGCAAAGGTAGTCCCGCCACGGATTGGTGTCCGGAGGACCCAAATTGTATTTTGTTTCCTTGGGACCCACGAGGCGAGGGTGGCACCCAGCCAGCTGCACTCTCCAAGACGGAGAGTACAGCTGCCCTGGTAGTAGTAAGTGTAAATGCGATAATGGGGGCGGAACCACTCCGGTTAGGGATAGATTTAGTGGATCTGTCGGGGCAAATATATTTCAGTACAAAGCCATTGCGCAAATGTTACGATGATGATAATTAAATAATCTGGCCTTACTCTGATTCAACAAAATGCGGAGGTAGGCGGAAGTAGGCGGTAAGCTGTAGTTGTGTCCGTGGGTGTTGAGTGAGAAGCATGAGGCCATGAGGAGGGTCGTCAGCGGCAGCACCAGCAGCGCCCCCAGGATGGCCGACCACACCAACGGCTCCAGAGGAAACAGGAAGCCCCACGGGTTCACTTCCGGCCGGCCTCGAGCTCCCAAGATTCTCAAGTTGTCTATAAACATTGGCGCTGTGAAGTCGACTATCTCAGCCCGGAGTCTACTAATACCGAAGGGGCCGACTGCTATATCCACTTCCTTTAAATAAAAAAAAATTAATAAAGTGGTTGGGTATAATTCCAGAACAAGAATTTATAGACTCCGATCACAACCTAGTGATGGGAGTCTACCACAACCCAGGAACTATTCGGGGCTGTACATCCTTGAGTACTCTATATCCTTGTCTTTAAGCATTCTGAAATATGAGTGAATAATTGTTTTGACTTCATCTGATTGTTACTTTGAAAATTTGATTTGGAATTGTATGAATCCTTCCGATACTTTTCTTTGAGTTGCATTCTCCTCAAGAGGAATGACCGTACCTGCCTGCTGACCATTCCCAGCATGCCTGACCAGGTTCCATCGGTGCGCTTACTTCCAGCAGCCCCATCAGGAGGTCTCGTGTACACATACCTGCCATGAAGGATACAGCCAGTGTACTGTATACACATAATATCTCCAACGCTTCTAGCATAATTAGTTTATGTTCGCAACACTACATTCATTATTACCTTAGAAAATTGCAATCAATTTGCTGATAATACCAATTTAAGAGCAGATCTGATAGAAGATGCCGTTTCTTGTGTTCGATTACCTGCTAACTCTCATTAAACTATTCATAAACACACAGGTTAGCTGCATATACAAGAAAAGAAATATATGTGAGGCAAAGGTTTAATGATGTCATCTGGGGTGAGTACTGTGTTGGCAGCATATTTTAAGCCTGTGTCTTACAATATCTCACTCAGTAAACTACGATAAACTTTGTTACTAGTTTATGACAGAATCTGATTCTGTAAAGACTTAAGTATAACTTCTTAAGAAGTATGTATAAGATAAGTACAACATTATATGCATAAGAATAAGGGGAGCCAAAACTCAGCCGATATCATTAGGATAAACATGGAGAGTAAGGCAAAGCAAATTGATGAGAATGTAGAGTAGTTGAGAGCGAGGAATCCTTCGCTGCCTCAAGACGAGCGATGCATTGATCGGATTATCAGAGCCCAAGGTAAGACAGACATGGAAACAATACTTAAGAAAAACATGTTCGGTAATGGTGGGAAAGTTTTAATTGTTGATGACTGAAGTTTTGTATATAAATCGAGCATTTCGGTGCAAGTAGCGAAACAATACGACGTTTGCGTCTTCCTCTGGGGCTGGGATGTGTGATTTATTAGAAAAGATGGATAATATTTATATATTGACCAGCTTTTCTAATAATATATGGCAATTTTACCCCTGAGGATTTAGAAATGAACAGAAGGCCAGGACAGATTGTATTAATTGTTGCTGGACAAATTTTTTTAAGCCAGCATCTTTTATTGACATCTTGAAAAAATTCAAAAGCAAACATTGCAAATATGCATAGGATTGTTTAAATCTGCCAAGAACAGGTATGATATCCATAGTTGATCCAGTAGATGGATTTAAACTGACAAAATATTGTGTTCTGGATGCATGAGAAGTATAGCAGGAGAACAATTGCAAGCATGAAAACCAAGCTGTCTAATTAAAAGAGTTGTGATGGTTTGAGATAGATGATGACGCAGTGTGATTTCTGCTCAGCTCTGAATGCCAAAATGGTTGAAAAAAATGTTTTGGGATAAATAGGCAAACTTTTAATCATTTTATTACATGTTCTCGAGATAACTGTGTTAACAAAAATTAACACAAGCACAAAAAAGAGCAACACATGTGAGCACTGAATACATTTGGTATTTTTTACAATCACAATAACATGCACGGGTATAGAAAACAGGAAACCATTTGCAGACTACTTTTTTTATAAAATAAATTTATTCACACAGATGTACAAACCAGACAACATGATGGATTAGCAATGTATGTTGGAGAACATTTTAAATAATGTGTCAAAAAGTTAATCCAAAGAGAACTAAATACAAAAACAGTTCAGACTTAACTATTATAGATAATTAACACCTTTTAATTGAAATATTATATGGTCCATCCATCATTGACAAATTAAAAAAAAAATTGGAATAAAACTTTGGCATCAAGGTGTAATAATATGTATATCATGTGAATAATATACATATTATATATAATATATACATAACATTCAAATTAAAATATAATATATTTGTATAATATATAATATAATATGTAATACATTTTATAATAAAATAACTTTAAAAAATAAGATTGGTTAAAACGAGGCATAGGAATTATAAGAACTGGTTGATGACTACAGTTTTAGCCATGATTATGATGTCATTAAAGAAAATCAAGTTATTGTACTTAATTTTGCTTAAAACAATACACTAGTAATTAACTATATGATATGCAATGTCTAAGGGAACAGTGAATATAATGAAATTGAATATAACATCGTGTAAAGAAAAATTGCATGAGTGAGAAATCTGACAGCGTGCCTGATTATACTTGATCTTTGAATTACGTGGAAAGGATATATATTAGAACACCTGAACACACTTAGGGGACTATTCTAGGTTTAAAACATGACTTCTACATCAAGTAGCCTGACATTTGATTAAAATGGAGAATAATATTAAACTCATTTTAAAAATGAGTTTTAATATTATTAAAATTACAACAAATAATATTCATGATATTCTGAGTGGAAATCAATTAGGCCGAATAATAATGACCCATAGTGGTCATGATTATTGAACTAAAGAACCTTACTAAAAAAAACAGAAAACTCGTTATAAACGAATTAGAGGTTGAAAAGTGTAAGATTTTTCTCTATGCTACGTGAATGTAACTACCTCTCTAGGGAGGCAGACCTCAAACAGAAAGGTCTGCACAAGCAGCTTTTACTTTAAGTAACAGACCACAGGAGCAACCCGCCGGAATGTCATCTTAGTGGATGACGTCCCATCCACTAGGTCGTTGATCTCTGCTTATTCCAGGTGTAACTAAGTTTGGGTAGATCCTAGGTTCTCTCACCAAATTATTTTGGTGTGTGGCGCTATGAATCAGACTTCAAGTCCCAAGAGCAGGCCTTCATAAAGGTTCACAAGTATGATTTCCATTGGTAAGTGGAACAATATTATTGTGGGTGCAACGTAAAGACAATTCTCATGTAACAATGACAGTTTATTCACCAAAAGACGAGAACTACTACAACACGAATTTACGTTACTTTACTCTCTTCCAGTGGCACGATAGATACAGCTAATTCAGCAGCCTAGTATAACCAAGGAATCCTATCCGTAATCGCGGGGCTGAACAATGATACTAACTGAACAGAGGTGTGCTCACTGATGACGCAAACTTTCAATCAATATTACTCACAGCCTTCCTGCGAGATATATACTATAATCACAAATTGCAATCACTCGCAGCCTGTTGGAAATTTCCAACACTAAATACAACACTGTTGTATTATTATTAATTATTACTAAATCTACTAATCATTGTAGTAATTAAAATTAACCAAACGTAGAGTTCACATGTACTAATAATTACATCTGTACAATAAGGCTAGAATTCTTACGTCACCAGACGCCAGTATTGCGTCAGATTCCATTATAATAAACACAACTATATCCAGTGTATCTGAGAATTGAATTTGATTCTCTATAAAACAACGGTGTTCTGTGTGATAATTAATTGCAGATAAACTGATCCCCAACTAATGCCAAATAAAGCGTTTATAGTTATAACTGTTATCTGGTAATAAATTTAACGTCACGCGTGAATGCCCTGGAGAGACTTTAATTCATCTCTATTGCTTGTTTACCATCGTAAAACGGGCAAATAATAATATTTAACTCCTCTGAATAATAAACCCGTCCTTATTCGAGCATTTCAATCACAACTGCGAGAAATGATAATATTCGTAGTAAATAATTTGTGTATCAGACGCGGAGCGGGGCAGGGGAGACGCGAGTACACGAGACGAAGTGCTCAGAGAGAGACGCCATTACCCAAGCCACCAGGGTAGACTCCACCAAGAGCTCCAGATGAAAGTCGCCACTGTGAGGTGTGAAGAACCTTTGCAGACAACAACTTAGCTGGTGTCAGTGTCACTTTACACATCGTGTTGAATTGTCAAGAGATTTAATTTGACATTCAGCCAGGAACCTGTTAAATTTGTTCCGGGTAGCACAACGTGACCGGCCAGAGAAGCGCGTCAAAATCTAGGCTAGACGCGAACTTCGGCAAGCCTTAACTTACACAGTGCCCTATTAGCTAAGTACCTTTATTCCCATTTGATGCATCATTTAGGAGGGGGTTATAGCTGGGTAGCTTGTCGTTACGCAGAGCGACTATAAAAAACCACAGGTTATTATTTACCTCCATTATTTAATTTAATTTTCTTGAACATAGATGTCTAGCAGCTTAATCTGTTGCTACTGAATATAATTTGATATACAGCGTGTGTGAAGAATTCCCCGAGCTGTCATTTCCCGTGTTAATCATCTCCCAGTGTTCCATGATGAGTCCAGGAGATTCCGAGGATGAGTCGTAACCGACTTCTTGGAAATCGTCTTCAAGCTAAGACCCTTTCCGTATTCCTTAAATTCCATTATCTGTAGTATTATTCATGCAGAGCACTGTTTCATTGGATTGACATGTGTGTATTATAATTATTAATTTCTCATGTTATAATCTATGTTCTTATTGGTGATAAATATAATGATTCTATAATTGGTCATAGGATTAGATTATTGCATAATGAACTGGTGCACGAACCACACTAGTTCCTGGACATATATGAAGTTCCAGTAATAACCCCCCAATGTAGGTGTTTGAGGCTTTGATTCAGTTAAATTATACAGCCCATTAATTTTATAAGTGATCATATTCTCTAGTATTTTATCCATAGTTACTGGTTCATCTAGGAATTTTCTAATGATCATATTTTATTAGTTTCCCTCTTTACTATAAAAGCGGGTGGTCCTTTGTAATAGAATTTCATTACATTAACATTTAAATAAATAGAGTCAAGCCCCAAATGTCCCACAGTATGGTTCTTATCGAACCGGATAAACATAAATTATAATTATAAATCTAATTATTAATAACTAATCCTTGTGTGATGTAATCTAGACTAACCATTTAATTAATTGTGTCAGCCAACAGCGTAACACATCAGTTAGTCTAAGTCACACCAATTCATTGGTACTTTCACCTCATGTATAAGGTAGCACTCGTGGGACACAGTCAATTACCCACAACACTTAGGCCTACACTTCATACTGAAGTAAGAATCTTTAGGTCACCAGGAGCATCAGCTCATAACCTTTATATGTTTTCACTTGTGTGTGCAAGTGCACCCTTATAAAAACAAAAAACCCAAAAATACAGCACAATTATATTCACCTTACTGCACCACAATAATCTTTACCAATCTTATTAGGTAGAATTTAGGCTGAGATTGTGCTGAATTTGGTACAAGCCCAGACTAAATAAATTTATAG